GATTCTGGTTAAAAAAAAAAAAAAAAAAAAAAGAGTCTTGATTCATAGAATATAATGAATCAGGAGCTTAGATTAGAGATGTAAGAACTATCAATTTATGAATGTAAGAACAATCAACCTACAGGCTGTTCTAACCTACAACCTTAGAACTAGTAGGGAAAAAGGCTATCTGCTGAATGAGAAAAAAGGAAAAGAGGAAAAGGCCCCACTGAGCTACCAGAAAGAAGATTCAGAGTGGCCAAATGAGCTAAGAGTCCGATGATGGGAAAGCACTGTTCTCTGCTGCTGAAAGGCCAGTAACTCAGGAACACCACTAAAATTGAGATTTGGGTACAAGGCTGAAAATGCCAGCCTATGCTCTTCCTTTGAATTCAAGTTTTCTTGCAATTCTGCATTTTCATAGGAAAGGAAATCATGGAAGAAACATTTTGTCTCCTGCAAAGTGCTACCGGATCCTTAGATCCTGTCACTATGGTTACACAGAAGAAAGACATCAGCAGCAAGTGGTGTCAATGTAGCAACTGTAAAGAACACAGGGGTCCTGTTGGACAGTAAATACAGCTTAGCTTCCTCAAGGCCTGGGGTTTGAGTCCCAGGACAAAAAAAGAAAAAAAAAAAAAAAAGGTTAGGAAAACATAATGGTTAATTTTATGTGTTAAGCTGACTATATTACAATTAATAAAACATTATTTCTAAGGGTGCTTGTGAGGATGTTTCCTGCTCATAAAGGATAATTTGGTCAACATTCAAACTGCAGCTGTCAGGCTTTTGGGTTTACACTGGACCTACTTTGGCCTTCCTGGGACTCCAGCTTGTAGATGGCAGACAATGGGACTTCTCAGCTCCATAAGCCATGCTAACCCACTCTTCCGTGTACATCCATGCTGCATCCTATTGGTTCTGTTTCTCTAGAAAACCTAGCAGGGAAATAACAGCCAATCCTCACTAAGCACTATCATGTGCCAACTGCTTTTATGAAGGTCATTTTCCTAACAGCCCTGCAAAGGACTGCTCGTTTAGTACTTGCAGGATATAAATTACCAAGGTCCACACATAGTAAGTAGTAAAGATGGGGTTCAAATTCAGTTCTGTGTGACTACAACCTAAGCTTGAATGCTCAAGCATCCCTTAGTGTCATCCACAGCCAACTCACAATGGTCAATGTTTACCAAACTACCTTCTACTTGATCGTCTGTGGCCACAAACTTTAGTGCTACCAACTTGGCATTTTTTTTTTCAACAGAGACGATCCACTTTAAAAACCTTTGCAAGAATCTTTATACATATTCATTTAGAAATTGGGGTGGGGGCAGAGGTGTCTTCATCCCCACTTTTAGCTTCAGAAAGTTGGTACAAAAACTATGGAGTCATCTGATCTCTCTGACTGACCACACGTGAACCCCGGCCCACTCTTTACCAGACAGGAACAGACTTTCCCCTCTTAGCTCTGTCTCCCTTCTAGGTCGCTCTAATTTACTCAACTTTAAAGTTTTAAATCACAGTTGTCAAAATGACCTTCTAGCTGGGTGGTGGTGGTGCATGCCTTTGATTCCAGTACTCAGGAGGCAGAGGCAGGTGCATCTCTGAGTTTGAGGCCGGCCTGGTCTACTGAGCGAGTTCCAGGATAGCCAAGTCTACACTGAGAAACCCTGTCTCTAAAAACAAACAACAAAAAAGAACTTCTAAAAGTAGAGTCTATCAACTGGTTTCACCTCGTGGCACTCCAAGAACACACTACTGAAGCAAGCAACTGGGGGAAGGACAATATTGCTCACAAACAGCCATAGGCTCCCCATGTAACCCAAGGCAATGGCCAATCAAAACTTCTGGAGAGTCCTTCAGCCTTGCATATATACTCTACTCTTGTTTCGTTAAGTTTTTATTGTTGCTTGGAGACAGGGTCTTAGCATGCAACTCTGACTGTCCTGGATTTTGATATGTAGACTTGGAACCCGGAGAAGGTGGCCTGGAACTCACAGAGACTCATCTGCCTCTGCCTCCCCAGTGCTGGGATTAAAGGTGTGTGCCACCATGCCCACACGTGAGGATAAAATTCTCAATGTCTCAATGTCTAGGTCAGGCTGGTCTGTGAGAGATTATCTTCATGTTGTTAACTGAGGTGGGAAAGCCAGCCGTTCCTGGTGGCACTGGCCCCTGGCTTTAGGTCCTGGACTATGGAAGCGTGGAGAGGGGGCTGGACACAGGCAGGCATTCACTCAGTCCCTTCTTTCTGCTCTTGACTGCAGCTGTAGCTGCTTCAAGTTCCTGCCTTGAGGTCCCCACAATGATGGACTGTCGTCCAGACTGGAGAGCCAAACAAACCCTTTCTCTTCAAGCAGCTCTTTGTCTGGGTATTCCGTCACAGCAACAAAAAGGAAACCAGCACAATATAGAAATGAATAAACCTGGACACAAAATGACCATATCAGAACTAAAACAAGTTCTCAGGCAAAAAGGAATTCACCAAGCACTGACAATTAGGCACTGAGAAAGGATTCCCCAAACTGTCAAGAATTAATAAAAACGTTCTAACACAAGGATAGAGAAGAGTGGGGGAGCACCACAGATAAACTCCACGCTCTTAGCCTGAGTATCTGGAGGAAGGGGAACACCGGTGAATATGAAATATGAAATGAATATGAGAATCTGCAAGACTCACAAGACCAAGCCAGGAAGATCACCATGAGTTCAAAATCAGTCTGGACTACAGAGTGAAATCCTAGCTGAAAATAATAATAATAGAGGCTTGGAGAGATGGCTCAGCGGTTAAAAGCACTGGCTGCTCTTTCAAAGGTCCTGAGTTCAATTCCCAGCAACCACACGGTGGCTCACAACCATCTACAATTGGATCCAATGCCCTCTTCTGCATGCAGGCTCTGTATGCAGATAGAGCACTCAAATACATATACCTCCCCACCAAATAAAACAAAACGATGACAATGATGGTGAGGATGATGATAATCACAATAACAGCAATGAGCTGGAGCTATGGCTCAATGGTCACGAGCACTGGCTGTTCTTCCAGAGGACGTAAGTTCGATTGCTAGCACCCACAGGGTGGCTAATAACCCTCTTTTCTAGTTCCAGGAGAGCCGATAACCTCTTCTGGCCTCTGCATGTGATGCATAAACATACATGAGGCAAAACACTCATACACTCTTTAAAAAAAAAATATCACCAGGCATAGTAGCCCACAATTTTAATCCTAGCACTGGGGAGGCAGAGGTAGGCAGACCTCTATAAATTCCAGGCCAGTCTGGTCTACATGAGCTGGTGCTATATAGACAGATTTGCCTCTGAATTTTTTTTTAAATTAAGAAAAATAAAAGAAAATGTTGCAAAATACTTTTAAATGAATAATAAAAATACACAAACAAACCTAAATAAACATAAAAATACACCCTGAGTTCAAGGTAGAATTGTGGGGATGTGACAGCCAGCCCTAACTTGATGGCACTGCGTTACTGGGTGCTTTAAGTCCAGGCAATTGCTTCCCCCAGAGTGCACAGACCTGTGTGATAATTTACACCGAACTCCCCCGGGATGGCTACAGAAAGTTAACATGGTACCAGGCATCCCCTCCTTTTCCCTTTGCCCTGCAGGCAAGATAAGAATAAGATAATGGTGCTCCTGCTTTCTGCTTTGGTAAACTTGCTTCTCAGTGCGGGACTGGGATGAGTGGTCTTTTTATCCCTATACAAGGAGGGGAAACAACGGTCTCACTCAGCTACGGATTTCAAGGATAACTGTGACGGAAACCTTTGCCATCCACCTTTATAAACCCCTCCTTCCTTCTGCTCCCCTCAGCACGGCACGCTGTTTGGCTCTACGGCTGCTGTCCTTTGCTGGCAGTAAAAATACGTTCATTTAACCTAAACTTGAATTGAGTCTACAATCTGGTCTTACCAGTGGATTCAAACACTACAATAGGATACTGAGCTAAAGATATAACTTTGAGTGGCGTGATGGCATGGGCCTTTAACCTAGCACCTGGGAGGCAGAGGCAGGTGAATCTCTGTGAGTTCAAGGCCGGACTGCTGTACAAAGTGAGTCCAGGATAGCTCGGGCTCTGTTACACTTACACACACATACACACGCACACAATCTTGCCTCCAAGTAAATAAATAAATAAAAATTCAGGGTTAAATGCGATTGCCCAGTAAATAGAAGTGCTTTCAACAAGCCTGATGACCTGACTTCCATCCTAGAAACCGACATGGTGCAAGGAAAGAAACGTCTCCTGGAAGCTGTCCTTTGACCTACACACAAGTGCCATGGCATGAACATGCCTGCCCTCAACGCACACACTAGGTACTTTTAAAAGATAGAAAATTGAGAGTTGGCACCAAAATAAATTTTATTTAAAGTGTGAAATGGGTGGCGCTCGGCAAGTGAGCAAATGGGAGGGCTGAAGGGTTTACGCATTTTGATGGTGTAACTATTAAAGATAAAGAAATGGCGCCACGAGTTGGGAAACCGGGGCAATGAAAAGAGGATGTCACCAAGTCTTTATCATTGAACTTGGCAACCCAGAAGTCACTTGGTAGTAGGGCTGTTTCCGCGGAACAGCGGGAGCCCAGGTCCCCCTGGAGCTGGAGGGTGAAGTTACTGTCGGGGAAGACGGGCACGTGCGGCTCACGCCTGTAACCTCAGCACCGGGCGTTGAGGCAGGAGGATTACGATCTCGAGGCCAGGCTGGGCTACGGAGCTAGACCACCTCGAAAATAAACGCGCTTCTGAGAGGGCAGTGAAAAGAGCTGGTGTCTGGGGCCCGCCCTCGGGTCGAGGACCTCATCGGGGCATGGCTTCCCACCTCGAGCACGCAGGGCGCACGCGCAGGCCCCAGGGCGAAGGCTCCCACAGCCCCGCCCCCTTCCCCGTCCAGGGCGCGTGCGCATCTCCTCAGAAGCCGCCTCAGCGAGCCGGGAGCCGGGCAGGAACGCTGGCCTTTCGTCCCCGCGCTGCTTGGAGGTGCCTTGCCATGGCCCCATCCCACCTACCGAGCCTGGGGCGAAACAGCAGGTCGCGGTGGTAACTGCGACGGCGGGGAGAGGCGAGTCGCTGGAACGCTTCCTCGCAGGGTAGTATCACACTTGTGTTCGAAGGTTCGCGGCGCGTCAAGAACCACACACGCTATTTTCTCTTATGAGCGCGGTCGAGCGCGGAGGACTCCTTTGCGCATGCCCGGTACTTCTCTGTGACGTACTGCGTTGCACCCTGGGAAACGTAGTTTTTACTTCCACACCTGTGCCCTGATCTGCTTAACGATGGTTTAATAGATCAGAATGCTCGTTTTCCGAGCCTTTGCATACTCTCCCGAAAGCTTTCATATAAATCAAGCGAACCCGAAAAACCGCACGTATAGAGCCTCGGCCTACGATGTGGGAGGTGATGGGATCGGATCCTCAGCACCAGAAGGAAAAGAAAAACAGAGGAACAAAAACAAAAAAAATCATCGGACTGATGGGGATAACGAAGGAAGGCCTCCAGGAGGCATATGAGAACTCTGCACTTTAAGCTAAATTTTGCTGTGAACCTAAAATATATCTGAAAACATTCTTAAATTATAAATAAGCAGTTTTAGGTTTAGAAGTCACATTTTTACGTAAGAATCTTCCCAGCAAATGAACGTAGACAATGCAGACACTTTACCTACAAAGGTATTTCTTGGGAGGCCTACCTCGTGGGCTGAGTTAGCGCAGTGGTAGGACACTTGCTCTCAATCCCTAGGGACTGCTCCTACCCCAAGTATCTAGCCCAGTATTTCGTACATAACCCATAAAAGGTCAAGATGGTTTGATGGTCAAGAGCACCTGCTCCTCAGTCAGGACTGGAATTAGAACAACACCACAGCACGTGGCTCACGACTGCCTGTAACTCCAGCTCCAAGGGATCAGGTGCCCTCTTCTGGAGGACACCACACAGGTGCGCAGACACAGAAACACATACACAGACAATGAAAATAATTTAAAAAAAAATCTTTCAAAGTCTATAGTTACATGTTGTTCGTCTCTGATAGAATCACAGATTCTATAAGGACAAGATGATCAGCCCCATTCATGTAGGCACTTCAGTACACAGCACTGGGCCTGGCACACAGTAAGCTGCCAGATACCTTCCTTGCTAGGAAACCTTAAACTTCAGCACTGAAACTTTCAGTCCCCGGACGAACAATAAAATTAAAGAAAACAATGAAGCCAGGGAGCTGCCCAGCAATTAAGAACACACACTGTTTTGCAAAAACCCCAGTTGCCGGTCTCCTGTAAATCCAGGCCCAGGGGTACTGATGCTTCTGTCCCCCCTCTGGCACCTGCCCTCACGTGCACATTCCCACACAGAGACACATAATCTTTAAAGTTTAAGAAAAGAATTTTCTTCTGCTGGATCTGTCTGTCTAGTCGGGTGTGCTAGTTAACTTGAGCCGTCAGCTTGACACAGCCTGGTGTCACTTGAGAAGACCGTCTCAACTGAGGGACTTCCCAGAGAGACATGGCCCGTTGGCATGTCTCTGGGGAAGTGTCTTGACTGTTAATCGTTGGAGGAGGGTCCAGCCATGATAGGTGGTACTATTTCCTGGGAAGATGACCTCAGGCTACATAAGAAAGCTAATCAGCAGCATGTGGAAGGCAAAGACAGACGGGGGTCTGTGATGGACGTTGTGGTTTCTTTGTAAACTCAGTTATGTAAATATGTTTTAATCCCAAGTGTGGGGTTTTAGTTTGGGCTTTAGTTTGTCGACAGCTGTTAATTGTCTCTTGCAGAGCGTGGTCTTTGCAGCTGTTATCGGCCTTCTGAGTGCTGCATGGAGAGGGGAGTGGGCCAGGGCTCTGGGGATACAAATATGAGAGCCCAGAAAGAGAAAGCATGGCTTGCGGTGAGTGGCAGTTTGGAGAGACCAAAGACGGAAGGGTGGACCCTGTGGTGGTTTGGAGCAGACAGACAGAAACACTTCGGGGCAGGGTTGGTGGAAGTGAAGTAGAAGCCTAAATATGCCAAATAAAATAGAGAGTTTTAAAAAAAACGAGCACTTCAGGTATCTGTGAGTTTGGGGCTAACTTGTTCTATAAAGGGAGTTCCTGACTAGCCAATGGGACCTTGTCTCAAACAAACAGAGAGAGAGAGAGAGAGAGAGAGAGAGAGAGAGAGAGAGAGAGAAGGTGGCAGATAGCTTAGCTTGAGCCAGTGAGCAAACTAGCAGGCAGCAATCCTCCATATTTTCTGTTCCAATATCCTGCCCTAAGTTCCTGTTCAAACAGTGCTCAGTGACAGACTGTCACTTTGAAGGGCCAAATAAGCCCTTTTCTCCTCTAAGTTGCTTTTGCTTGAACATGGGTTTAAGCCAATAGAAAGTCTTTACTGGTGAACTGGCAACAACACCGGGTGTTTGGGATCCCAGTGTAGCCCCAGCCTTTCCCCTTTTGTGCCTTTTGTGACTAAAGGCACAAAAACCATGTCCTGAGCTGGCATACTTCAGTTAACAGGAACAGAAGAACTACAGAAGCCAGAGAGCAAAGTGAGTACATTGAGAGACATTCCCAGAACTATGGACTTTGATGGATTGGGCCTGTGTGTGGTGGTCTGGGTAGGTATAGTGCCTGTACACTCACGTGTCTGAATGCATGGCTCATAGGAACTGGCACTATCCAGAGGCGTGGCCTTGTTGGAGTAGGTGTAGCCTTGCTGGAGGAAGTGTTTTTCTGTGGGGGCAGGTTTTGAGGTCTCCTATGCTCAAGCTCCGCCTAGCGTGGAAGACAGTCTCCTTCTAGCAGCCTTGTACATCAAGATGTAGAACGCTCAGCTCCTCCAGCACCTTGTAAGAGTTGCCATGGACATGGTGTCTCTTCAATGAAACCCCAACCAAGAGACTTTGTTTTCATTGTTTGGCAGGTGGTGCTGTCTATGTACTGAGTTTTATAGTATGAATGGCACTTCTATCATGGAGGCAGTTGTGCTAAGGTCTGGGAGCCTATGAAGGTCTGGGGCCTTGTTACAATCATAGTCCTCCAGAGGCAGAGGCAGAGCCAGAGGGATCACCTGTAAGTTCAAGGCTTGCCTGGTTTACATAGCGATTTTTAGGCGAGCTATGGTTGCATAAACAAGACCCTGCTCAAAAACCAGGGCTCAGAAGATGCTCAGCAGTAAGAAGAGCGTTTCTTGCGGTGGACCTGGGTTCCATTCCCAGCAACCACATGGTGGCTCACAGTCATCATAGCTCCAGTTGCAGGAAATCAGATGCCCTCTGCTGCAGCGCATATACATACATGCAGGCAGAATACTCATACACATAAAATGAATCTTAAAAATACAGTAAAAAACACAAATAAGAAAACTCCCTTCCATTCTCTTAAAACGTGTGTTTGTCTTTATTTCATGTATATGATAGTTTTGCCTGCATTGTAGGTATGACCCAGTACTCAAGGAGGCCAGAAGAGGGCGTCAGATCCTCCAGAACTAGAGTTACAGATGGCTCTGAGCTACTATGTGTGTGCTAGGAAGTGAACTGGGGTCCTCTGCAAGAGCAGCAAGTGCTTCTAACTGCTGAGCCATCTCTTCAGCACCAACATTTCTTCTTCATTTGGGTTGGGGGGGAGATAAAGAGAGGGTTTCTCTCTCTATCCCTGGCTGTCCTAGAACTTGTTTTGTAGGCCAGCCTAGCCTTGAACTCATGGAGATACACTTGCCTCTGTCTCCGGAGTTCTAAGATTAAAGGTATGTGCCACCACTTGCAGTTTTTTTTAAAGAGCTATTTATCTATCTATTTATTTATTTATTTATTTATTTATTTATTTTTTTATTTGTACAATGTTCTGTCTGCATATACACCTGCAGGCCAGAAGAGGGCACCAGACCTCATTATAGATGGTTGTGAGCCACCATGTGGTTGCTGGGAATTGAAGTCAGGACCTGTTGAAGGACAGCCAATGCTCTTAACCTCTGAGCCAAATCTCCAGCCCCCTTGGTTTGGCCTCAAAAACAAATATAGCTGGAGAAACGGGTCAGTGGTTAAGAGCACTGGCTGCTTTTCCGGAGGACCCAGGTTTCATTCCCAGCACCCACACAGCAGCTCACGCTTGTTTGTAGCTCCATCTTCCAGGGAAGCTGGCACCCTCACACAGACATGTGTGTAGGCAAAACACCTACGCACATAAAATAAAAATAAATTCTATATTAAACAAACAGACCCAACCTTTTATCTGGGCATGCCTTTAGTCGCAGCACCTGGGAGGCAGATGCAGGATCTCTGTGAGTTTGAGGCCGGCCTCCCTACATCGCAAGCTCTCGTAACAGCCAGGACTATAGAGATCCTGTCACAAGACAAAACAGCCTACCATCCTATCTTCAGTTTTCACTTCACTGCCTCTTACTTGATGTCTTTTCAGAGCCAGAGCCTGGAGGTGGTCCTCGACACCCCTGTTTCCCTCAGGTCTTACGGCCAACCCACCACTAAGTGCCAACTATTGGTAGTCGCGCACACTGTCATGGTACGCAACCTCATGCTGCCCCCTTGTGGCCTGTGTGAAGATTTCTCTGGACTGTATAGCCATTAGTAAGAGTCTCTCAAAGTCTATTCTGACCAGAGTGGTCTTTTGAAAGTGCAAATATGTTCATGCTCCGGTACCCCTATTTCCTGTCTCACTTCCTTCTCTCCCAACTCACCCCTGCTCCACATTAGCCCCTTGGGTCTTCTTCGGTGCTCTCCTTCCCCAGAGCCTCTGTTAATGCTCAGAGAGCATTCCTCTCCTTCCCTCCTGCCTTCTTCTTCTTCCTCCTTTCTCCCTCTTCCCCCACTTCCCCTTCCTTTTTCTATGATTTGTTCATTTTTTAAATTTTGTGCACAAAAGTCTTTGTATGCACACATGTTTATATGTGTGCAGTGTCTACAGAGGCCAGAGGAGGATTTTTGATCCTCTGGAACTAGAATAACCTATGGTTGAGTCGCCCTGTGGGTCCTGGGAGCCCAACCCGTGTCCTCTGGAAAAGCAGCTGGTGCTCTTAATGGCTGAGCCATGTCTCTGGCCCCTTCTCCCCCTTTTCCTCCACGGCTCTTACTCACCGAAGGCCTTCCCGACTGGCTCATCCTCAATTCCGGTCTCTCACAATATCGTGAAGATCCCTGTCCCTGTGACAGTAACACAAAAGTCCCAATTTTAGGTAGTGAAGGCAGTGGTTGGGGCGTGTATTTCTGGGACTCAAACCCAGGATCTTGGGCAAGTACTCTAACACTGAGCCTCAGTCTCACAGCAGTGGCATTTGATTCCTGTCTATCCTGTCTTTTATTCCATGGATAGGAAACTCCATGATGGCCAGGCTCCTTTCTGTGTTCTCGGCTTGGCATTTAATATAAATATTTCTTATATAAGGCAGACAGTGGTGCACGTGGGAGGCAGAGGCAGGAGGATCTCTGTAAGTACAAAGCCAGCTTGGTCTACAAAGTGAGTCCAGGACAGCCAGGGCTATTATACAGAGAAACCCCGTCTCTAAGAAAATAAATAAATAAATAAATAAATAAATAAATAAATAAATAAATAAATAAATGAAATTTTGATTAATTTTTTTTTAAATAAAAGAGCAAATGAAGGTGCTGTTTCTTGCTTGGGAAGGCTATGGCAAGCAGCATTTTGGTAGGGTGACCGTCACAGACTTTGGTCTTCAGCTTTGCAGGACCAGGAATTGCCGTCTATCTCCAGTTTCTCAGATTAGATTCCCAATAAAGAGAGACTGCGTCCACTGAGCCATTTGGGGAGAACAGTGGAGCTGACCAGAATAGTCTTGTTTCCTGGAAAAGCCGCGGCATGTGAGGAAATCGGGGTCTTCGTGCTCTCCCCTATAATCTCAAGGCCGAGGAATGTCACATTCAAATCCTTCTCCAAAGAATCCTGAAACATCGTAGAAAAGGCAGGCGAGGCAGCCCGTATCTGTGATCTCAGCACCCGGATGCAACGGCAGGAGGAATGTGAGCCCGAGACAACCTGGGATACCACAGAAAATGCCAGGCCAGCGTGGGCCGCGTAGCAAGACTGTCTGAAACAAAGAGGGGTGGGGAATGCAGGCTAGTGTTCAGTCCTTAGCTGGGGGAGGGGAGGGGGAGGAGTGGGAGCGTGTGTTGGTGGGGTTACAGAGATCTTTACTGAAGAGTTCCCGAGCCGCTTCACAGAGCCCCTCGCATTGCTAAGTTCCACTGCAAAAGTATCGCTCACAGCACCCTCTGCTCTCTTGTCACTGGGAAAGGTCTTCATGCCTGGACGTGCAGGCGTGTCTCCCCGTTTCTCCCTGATCATGCTCCCTCAATACTCATTCGATCAAAACAAGGGGCTTTCTCTCCATATATGGCTTCCCTTGGCAGACAGGTAGAGGAGACTGATTTGAATTTAATGTGTTTTGAGCCTGGTGCACACAGGCTCAAAAGCCACATTGTAACCAGAAGGTGGCAGAGTACGCATGGAATCCAGGGACAGAAGGACGAGTGAAACGCAGGAACTTAGGGCAATCGCCTTATGTCTGTTCATAATTTACACACTTGGACAAAGCCTGCAGTCCGCAATATATAATGGAGAAAATAAACTTCTCCATAATCCTAGCCTAAGCTATATCCACTATGGAGCGTTTGATATATATTTCACTGTCTCTCCTTTTCATGCTCAGTAAATAGATATTTTTAAACATAAAAACAACACAAAACGTCCCAAAGCCAGGTGTGGCGGCGCGTGCCTACAATGAACCCCAGCACTGTGGAAGCTGAGGCAGGAGGGTCAGAGTTCAAGGCAGCCTAGACTACAAATTGAGACTGTGTCAAAGACAGACAGAGAGGCAGACAGACAGAAGCCTGCTGGGGGTGTTGGGTGGTGCTGGGCTCGGGAGCAGCCTCCGAGCTGGACTCCTGGGTGTGGGGGCAGTGTCTGGGACGGGTTCCACAGTGCTCCCCGGGGACACCCCAGCTTGTAGACACACAGCTGGCACCGCTGCTCCTGGCTCTCTGTGTTAACCTGGCAGTTAGTGATTAAACCTGGATTGCTGTCCTCTTCAAGGGGCCATCACCAAAAATTACAGGGCCGTGCCACTCACAAACCTCTCGCCCTGGCACTGAACATTTAAGCCTCCTCCAGGATGGGGCACAGTGGCACAGGACTGTGATTTCAACGTGCAGGAGGCCAAGGAGGAGAAGCTGTTTAGAAGTCAGCTCCAGCCTGGGCATGGAGGTACGGACATTCAGTCCCAGAACTCTGCAGCCAAAGGCAGGCAGGGCTCTGTGAGTTCCAGGCCAGCTGCTCTACGTAGTTTTGGGACACCCAGGCCCACATAATGGAGAGATCTTTTCTCAGAGAGAGAGACAGAGACGGGGGGGGGGGGGGAGAAAGAGAGAGCACTATATCTGTATTTCTCGGCCCCCAAAGCATAATCTAAATCTAAATCTAACCTAAGACGGCAGCTTCTTTCTATCTGTAGAAAACCCACCTAACTGCTGAGAATGTAACTTGGAGTGAGAACTCAAAAATCCACTTCTCCCCCCCCCCCCCCATGAATGCCTACATAAGATCACAATGTTACAGCTCAAACTATAAGCTATGGGAGATTTTTGTTGGTGGCTCAAACCCTAGAGCATTATCTAGGCCCCAGACTCATGCTTTTATTTAAGAGTTCGCCTTATTAATCTCTGAAGTGCTTGGAGTGATTTCTCACTTTGAAAGCTTAAATTGGCTACGGTTAGACATGGATATGAAATTATAACTGGAGCCAGATAGCATAATTTTAGGAAAATAAACATGATGTGTTCATTCTTTCTTTCTCCTTTCTTTCTTTCTCCCTTGCTTCCTTTCTCTTTTAACAATTTATCTTATTTTTGGCCAGACATGGTGGCACATACCTTTAATCCCTACAGAGGCAGGTGGACCTCCGTGAGCTCAAGGCTGGCCTGGTTTACATAGTGAGTTCCAGGCCAGCCGGGGCAGCAGAGTGAAGCCTGCCCCTACACAAAAGTTGGGGGAGGGAGCTAGAGAGATGGTTCAGCAGTCAGACAACTTAATGCTCTTGCAGAGGACCCAGGTTCAATGCCCAGCACTCACAGGGCAGCTCACAACCATCTATAACTCCAGGTCCAGGGGATCCAATGCCCTCTTCTGACCTCCTCCGGCACCAGGCACACAGAGTGTGCACATACACACATATTGAAATCTTTTTAAAAGATTTGTTTGTCTGTTTTTACGAGTGTGTGTGTGTGTGTGTGTGTGTGTGTGTGTGTGTGTGTGTGTGTG